AACAACAACAACAACAACATGGTATTAGGATTCATTCCTTGGGCTTATCTTTTTGTTTTTATTTTTAACTTTGTATTGTGAAATTTGTGACAGTTTACAGGGAGCCCAGGATTCCTAGTAGCATAGTGAGTTATACATTGAGCTGCTAACTACAAAGGCAGCAGTTTGAATCCACCAGGTGCTCCTCTGGATAAAGATGAAGCTTTCTGCTCCCATAAACTTTTATGGCCTTGAAAAACCCTACATGGGGTCTTGATGAGTTGAACCCGAGTTGTGGCACACCACAACAACCACCACCAAGTGAAGGTTTACAGAGCAGATCATCACTCTGACATTGAACAAATCATACATTTAATTTCATCTCAATGATTGCAATCCCCTCCATGGAATATCACTTATTCCACTTCCTCACTCTGTCTCTTGTTTCTGTTCCTTTTTTCCCCCCAACCCTTCTGTAATTTATGCTTAGGGAAATGCTGTCTCCCTGAGCCCAAATGGTTGACCATTCTATGATGTGTGTTTCTCACTGGGGTTGTTGTTCCTCCTGTAGACCTTCTATTGCTTGGCTGAAAATTGAGAAACGAGAGTGAGTTCAATTCCAGACCTGAAAGGGGACCAAGGGTCATGGTCTCAGAGTTCCACCAGTCTCTACATGACCAGCTTTATAATTTTGAGTTTTGTTCCACATTTTCTCCTGCTTTATCCAGGACAGTCTTTCTTTCAGAGCTGTTTGTGGTGGTAGTTGGGCACCATCTAAGTTCGTCTGGTCTCAAGGTTGTGGAGACTCGTGTTCATGCTGTCCATTAGTCCACTAGACTAATTGCTTCCAAGTATGTTTGGTTTTCATCACTCTTCCTTCCTCTGGACAGACAGACACCTACAGTTGCACTTTTTATGCCTCCGGCTGTCTTTTTACCTTCATCTCAGCTAGTGCTCTTTTTGAGTATTTTTGTACTTACAGAATTACCCTTGAACACATTTTCTTTATTAAATTTGTATTTCTTGAGAGATAAAAAATGGATCCCAGTGTTCAGCAAGGTAATTAAGACGCTGTGTGAAAATTAACTTTTGCTTTTGAGAGAAAATTTTTCAGAGAGGAAAGGGACTTCCTAATCAAGTCTATTCTGGGATCAGTTGGGTATTAGAGAACAGTGAAATGAATGCTGGTTACTAATAAAAATACAATGTTTCTCGGCTTCCAGAGAGAAGACAGGGTAATTTTGAAGGAGACGAAAGTCTGGATCGAGCAATTTGAAAGAGATTTGACAAGAGCACAGATGACAGACTCAAATTTGCAGGATAAATATCAGGTAAAGGATGGGAATGAGACTTGTTTGTTTTTTTTTTTCCAAAAGCTTTGCTTGCGTCAGTTCCCTATGTGCCCTTTAATTTTTGTATAATCTTTCAAATGATACCAATAAGCTTCATGCAATTGAATGATTGTATTTCTATGAAAATATTTGGAAATTTTAAGATAATAAGTTTAAGAGATAATAAGCTTCACGCAATTGAATGATTGTATTTCTATGAAAATATTTGGAAATTTTGAATTGTACTATTTGCAAAGGGTCTATGGATCCTGGGGCTATCAACACTTGCCAGAATTCAGCCTTGTACATGGCCTAGAGCACCCACACCTAGTCACTGTTATTGTAGAGGTCAAGGTCTTATAGATGTCACAGTGCACAAGATGCCACAACAACAGAAAAATCCCTAAAATGTCAAAATGAATTTCCTTATAGGATGTTGTTGTTGTTGTTGTTAAGTACCGTAAAGTCGGATAGCATAAGATCTATTTAATAAAGGATTGTTGCACGAGCATTCGGAGTGGGCTCACCATTGGCGTCAATCGCTGTAAACTGACCGATTCAAGAAATACTCTTGGATCAAGTTGAGGCCACAGTTGTTGATGTTACTACCGGGGTCATCACAAATATCATTAACTGGGCTTCTTCCCTCCAATTTTCACTCCCAAGACACAAATTCTTATTAGTTTTCCCATTAAAAGTTGTGATAGATTCTGTGCAGGGCTGGTATTTTGCTCCTAAATACCACATTTCAGTCGACACTGTATGGCATATTCTACTCTATAGTATGATTCTTTCGGGCTGTAGGATAAGCACTGGACTACAAGGTCAGTTTGAACCACAAAGTCAGTGATTTAAGGTCACCAGATATTCCCAACTGCTCCGTGGAAACCCTTACAGGGTCGCTAGGAGTCAGAACTAACTCGACAGTACTTAACAACAGCAACAACAACAACAACAAAAAGTGTGTGTGTGGGGGACCACAGTGATGTGAGAGATTCATCATGGCAGGCAATAAAAGATTTAGCCATGGCAATAGTTGTGGTTTTGCATAGTCTTTGCTATGTAGTGCGCCTGCGTGTGGCTGGATGATCATTCAATATTAAGTTTGTTGAAGTAGGCAAATTAATAAATGTGTCCCGATGTGGCCTTGCGGAATAATGCACTAGACAGAAAGGTCAGTTTGAACAACAAGGTCAGCAGTTCAAACCCACCAGCCACTCCTTGGAAACCCTGCACAGGGTTGCTATGAGTTGGAACCAACTCCACAGCACTTAACAACACTAACAACAATATATGTACATACCCTTTTGCTTGGAAACTCAATGTAACGTTTTCCCCCCAATACAATTTTTGGGGATGAGATCCACTACAATAATTAAACTTGTAAATTGAGAAGTGCGAAAACAAAGTGAATATACCTTTTTAGTTCACTGATGAAATTTTAATTTTTATACGATTTATCAAAATAGAGTCTCAAGCCACAGAGTTAGCTTTTCTGTAGGTATTATTTCTAAAGAGTCAAATGAAGGACTTGAAATTTATAAAAGTGAGACACTCTTTAAAGACAAAGATGACCACAGGTCTCCTAAAATAGGGTGGTTGTTGTTGTTAAGTGCCGTGAAATCAATTCTGCTTCATAGAAACCCTGTACAGGGTTTAAGAGGAATGACTGGTGAGTTTGACCTTATGGTTCAAGCTGACCTTGCAGAACTGCACTTATTCTATAGCACCACACCACACCACAAGTCCAAAATAAGATTGTTGTTACAGTTCCGACTGATAGCAACCCCCTATAGGGTTTCTAAGGAGCAGCTTGTGGGTTTGAACTGCTGATTTTGTGGTTCACAGTCCACAAAAGCTCTGGTAGCAGAGTGGTTATGAGTCGGTTGCTAATCTCCAGGTCAGAAGTTTGAAACTACCAGAGGTTCCATGGGAGAAAGATGAGGCTTTCTGCTCCCGTAAGGATTTATAGCCTTGGAACCCCTATACAGGGTTGCTATGAGTCGGAACCAACTCCACAGCACATAACCATCACCAGTCCAGTACTGATCATACAACGCCACACCAGAAGTCCAAAAATAGGGTTAGAAGCCAACTGAAACCTGAAAATAGGAAACATTTTCTTATATCTGTATGTTTATTATGTAATCAGCATTTTCTGTATGTTTATACACATTAGGTAATAATGTATTGCCCAGTTTTTCCATGCATGGAACTCTGGAATAAAATTGAAGATTGATTTTATATTCTGATGTTTTTAAACATTGCATGAACTTGGAATGGAACATAAAACTTGTGGAAAAACACTTTATTCACCGTCTCCCCCCAGTGTTCTTATTATGAATTGACATGCTTGTTTATTTCTATGACTTTGAAATTCTTTTAGATGTGTTACCTACTAGGTTTTGAAGGGCCAACCTCCTGATCTTTTACATAATTGCACATTTTAATGGCGCTTTCGATTCATGTTTAGATCTGGAGTCATATTTTAGGATGTACTGATTTAGTATATAATCTAGAACTTTAATTAAAATCACTACTTTTCAAAGTTCGCATTAGGCTTACCGTTGAGTGTACCCATTCTAAATTTATTTTAATCACACTCTGGCAAATAATATAGTATTTAATACTTAATACCTGGTGTGACATTGTAGGGTAAGTACTGGACCGCAAGGCTGATTTGAACCTCAAGGTGGTTATACAAACCCAGTAGCTGCTCCTCCAGTCTATACAGGGGCACTATGAGTCTGAACTGATGTGACAACATTTAACAATAACAACCATAAAATTAGACAATTATTATATAAATGAAGTCTCCTAAAGTAAACCATTTTATACAGGTTTAGACAGAAATGAGATGTTTTTAATTCACTATTATTTTGACATATGCAATTTCTATTTATGAATTATTTCATATTTCAAAATAAAGCAGCTATTTTATTATTTGGGTGGATTGATACTCCTGGTAATGTCCTTTCCTGGAAAGCATAGTCTGGCGTCTAGATAATTTAACAAAAAATGAGGAAACCTCGAATTTCATCCTGCAGCTACTGCGTGTCCTTGCCAAACCATGGCTGGGTTTCCAGTATCTTCACCTGTGATATAGTAGTAATAATAATAATCTTTGTCTATGTTGTTGGGTTATGGAGCGAGGCAGAGGAGACACCGTAGGAAAGTCAGTTAGTTGAGGTATATAGAATAGGCAGAGCTCCATGAATGATAGTGGCCATCTGTATCATCACTGTTTTATTATTATTATCAATAACATATTAAATGCTATACAAATAAAAAGGACTGTTAATTGGGAAATGTGGTTTCCTTTGCTTTTGCTTGTTTTGACTCCTTTCCATGTTGTTGCTGTTTTTCTTTTCCAGTCATTTAAGCATTTCAGAGTTCAGTATGAAATGAAGAGGAAACAGATAGAACATTTAATACAGCCATTACACAGAGATGGCAAATTGTCACTTGATCAAGCTTTGGTCAAACAAGCCTGGGATAGAGTGTCCTGTAGGGTAAGTTCCGTCACAGCTTCCTGAAGGCGTCAGTAACTTAGTAACTTAGACTGCTGATGTGGTACTGTAGGATAAGCACTGGACTGCGAACCACAAGGTTGGCAGCTCAAACCTAGTCCCCTGCTCCTCGACAATTCTACATAGGGTTGCAATGAGTTGGAACAAATGCTATGGCACTTGCAACAACAATTTAGTCAAGTGTCTGTCCCATCACCATTTTCTACACAATGACATTGAAACAGATCTTACCACCTTTCCCTGGAGTTGGGGAGATGGAACTATGGGAGAATCTTTACCTTCTTGTCAAGTATTCCCTTTAAATTAATGGAATTGCTCGGTTTAACCACGCATTTCCTGCCTTTCCTGCCTTATAGTCTAGAGGATGGATTGAAATCCTATCTACATCTCAATTTACCCAGTTTAATTCTGGGATCTTTAGAAGAGGCGGTCCTCTATAAATGGTCTTCAAAATTCAAATCTCAGCAACTTCTCCATATTCTGTAATTATGTCTCATTCACTCAGCTGATAATAATTCTTGTCATATTTGCAAACAATTTTATATTCTTTAGTATATCTGATCTTTCCCAAACCTGAAGGAAACATGCTCAGTATCTTCGATATTAATATTTTTTACACTTAAAATTCAAGATTCAAAACCCATGAAACTCTTCAATCACTACTAGGAATCTTTGCTTTGAATTTACTGCATGACCTTCATTTTGATTACCTCATTGTTTCTGGACCTCTTCGGATTCTGTGTGAGGTTTATTAGTGATCCTTACTCTAATGACCAGGACCCACATCTGCTGGTGTACAACGGTTCTGTCCTTCAGCATGTCAGCAAACCCAAATTTTCCCTTCTTGGCTAAAGCAAAACTGAAAATGAATGGGTACTTTATGTCTTTCCCATAGAAGAAAACTGTTTGAATTTCTAACTCTGTTGCTGAGATAAGAAGCCCAGGTGGTGCTGTAGGATAAGCACTAGACTGCTACCTGCAAGGTCCGTGGTTTGAGCCTAGCAGCTGCTCCGCAGGAGAAAGATGAGGCTGTCTGATTCTGTGAAGATTTACAGTCTCAGAAGCCATATATAATACTGCTATGAGTCAGAATCACTCAATGGTGGTAGGTTTGGTGTAGATAAAGGGGAATCCCCTGGTAGTACCAATAATTTAAATGCTTTGCTGCTGATTGAAAGGTTCGAGGTCGGATTTCTTCCAGAGGTGCCCCAGAAGAAAGGCCTGGAAGTCTAAAACCGAAACACCAACCACTGCTGAACACCTTACAGAGCACAATTCTACTCTGACATACCTGGGAGAGTTGTAATGATCACAATGACAACTGGAGCTAAAGCTGGGATATATTTTAAGTTTGCTTAAAATTTGCAATTTTCTCCACATTCCCAAAGCATCAAATGTAGAACATAGCACAGGTTTTCAGATGAGCTTCCTAACGAAGACAGACGAAGAAGAAGGAGAGACGAACTACTTACGAATATTTAGTCACTGAAAACCTCAAGAATGGCAGAGAAACACTGTCAGACTGATTGGAAGAGATCCATATTTGTGCCCATTCCAAAGAGAGGTGACCCAACAAAATGCAGAAATCATTGGACAATCTCTTTCATATTCCATGCGAGTAAAGTTTTACTAAATGTAATACAGAAACGGCTGCAAGCATACATTGACAGAGAACTTCCAGAAGTTCAAGCTGGATTCAGAAGAGACTGTGGAACAAGGGATATCATTGCTGATGTCTGATGGATCTTGTCTGAAAGCAGAGAAACCAGAAAGATGTTGATCCGTGCTTCATTGATTACAAAAAGGCTTTCAATTGTTTGGATCATGACAAGCGATGAACAACATTGCAAAGTATGAGTATTCCTGAACACTTAACTGTGCTCATGAGGAATCTGTACAGAGCATGGGAACATGGTTGCCATGGTTCCCATGGTTTAAAATTAAGAAAGGTGTGCGACAAGGTTGTTTTCTTTCACCCTACTTATTCAAACTGTATGCTGAGCAAATAATCCAAGAAGCTGGGTTATATGAAGAAAAGCATGGCATCAGGGTTGGAGGAAGACTCATCAACAACCTGCAATATGCAGATGATAGAACCTTGCTTGCTGAAAGTGAAGAGGACTTAAAATACTTACTGATGAAGATCAAAGACCACAGCCTTCAGTAAGAATTGTATCTCAATGTAAAGAAAACAAAATCCTCACCACTGGAACAATAAACAACATTTTTATCAATGGAGAAAAGATTGAAGTTGTCAAGGACTCATTCTTGGATCAACCACCAAAACTCATGGAAGCAGCAGTCAAGAAATCAAATGGTGTATTGTATTAGGCAAATCTGATGCACAAGACGTCCATTAAGTGTTGAAGAGCAAAGATGTCAGTTTGAGGACTGAGGTGCACCTGACCCAAGCCATGGTATCTTCAATAATCTCATATGCATGTGAAAGCTGGACAGTGAATAAGAAAGACTGTAGAAGAATTGATGCCTTTGCGTTACTGTGTTGGAGGAGAATATTGAAAGTGCCACAGGTTGCCAAAAGAACCAACAGATCTGTGTTGGAAGAAGTGTAGCCAGAGTGCTCCTTGGAGGCCAGGATGGCCAAACTTTGTCTCTCATACTTTGGACATATTAATAGGAGGGCCAGTCGCTGAAGAAGGAGATCATGTTTGGTAATGTGGAGGGTCAGAGAAAAAGAGGAAGACCTCCAGCGAGATGGATTGGCAAAGTGGCAGCATCAATGGGCTCAAGCGTGGCAACAGTAGCGAGGTTGGCCCAAGATTGGGCAGTGTTTCATTCTGTTATGCATAGGGTCGCTATGAGTTGGTAGCAACTCAATGGCACCTAACACCAACAACATACTTTTGGGGAAATTTTAGTAATTGTCTCCTGTATTAGAATATATTTTTATTTATTTTATTTTTTTATTTCAGCTCTTTGATTGGCACATGCAGCTTGATAAAGCCCTGCCTGCTCCTCTGGGCACTATAGGTGCCTGGTTATACAGAGCAGAGGTGGCCCTGAGAGAGGAGATGACCATTCAGCAGGTCCACGAGGACACAGCCAACACCATACAGAGGAGATTGGAACAACACAAGGTAACGATTCCCATCAGAAGGCTACCCAACAAAGCCACTGAGTGGTCTGGAGCTGTGGTCTGCACAGGAAACCCACACATCCATACACATGTGTCTCAGAGACATCACACCTGTTCACAAAAGCTCTTTAATGTGCACTTTGCTTTCATATCTATAAGGTGGCGCTGTGGGCTAGCTATTGGGCTGTTAATTGGGAGGTCTGTAGTTAAAACGCTCCAGCTGCTTCACAAACTATCTGTTCCCATAAAGATTTACAGTCTCAGAAATCCTAGTCTGTCCTGTAAGGTCTTTATGAGTCAGAATTGGCTTGCTGGAAGAGGACTTTTTTTTCTTCTCATAAATGTATTTTAAAATAGCAGTTCCAGCAGTTTTACTTCCTGGGCTATTTTCCAATAACTTTGAAGCTTTCTTTGTTATTTCTGTTGCTGTATGCTATTTTTCAAGATAACATGAGTTTCTATAGTCATATGATGAGCGCTGAGCTCCAGGTCTCCTCATCACTGTTCCTATTCTCAGAGGAAGGCAGAATGAAGGGCTTATTTCCTGATGGTGTCAGATGAGGGGCCCATGGAGGGAACAGTGGTCCTACACAGTGGTAGGTTTAGGCTTTGAAGACTTCTTTGGTGTTTTTTACCTTTCCAGCTTAATATGTGAGTATGGTCGGTTGAATAAATGTGGTATTTTCATTAACTTCACAATAACGCAGCCCTGCATTCTATACAATTGAAGGTTTCTATCTCATTTGCCGGGGTTTTGCTGTCTGTGTTCAAAACAAACCTGTCATCAGAGGTTCGTACTCCTGACTACATATGACCAAATTATAGCTCATGTGTTATTTTCTGCCAAATCTCTGATAGATATGTATGTGTGTCCATATATCACATGTGTATTATTGTTGTTAAGTGTTATCTAGTAGATTCTGATTCATAGAGACTCTGTACAGGGTTTCCAAGGCTGTAAATCTTTGTGGGAGCAGAAAACTTCATCTTTCTCCCTCAGAGTGACTGGTGGGTTTGAACTGCCAACCTCATGGTTCATAGTCCAGTGCTTATCCTACAAAACTCCCTGATTCCCGATGTATATATTTTATTAAATAATATTTTAATTAATAAATTTAAAATATGTTTTAAAACTAACCTTAGAGGGTAGTATCAGGAGCCCTGGAGTCCTGGTGTGGCGCTGTGGGCTAATGCGTCAGACTGCAAAGTTGTTTGAAATGCAAGGTCAGTGGTTCAAGCACACCAGGTGATCCTTGGAAACCCTATACAGGGTCATTATGGGCCGGAATTGACTTGATGGCACTTAACAACAACAACTAGGAGCCCTTATAACATCATGGAACTGGGCAGCTAATAGGTTAGCAATTTGAATCTATGAGTCATTCCATGGGAGAATGATGAGGCTTTCTGCTCCCTTAAAGATTTACAGCCTCAGAAACCCTATACAGGGTCAGTCCTGGTGTGATGCTGCCCGTTAACGCCCTGGACTGCACTGTCGATTTGAACTGCAAGGTCTGCGGTCCAAGCTCACCAACCACTCCTCGGAAACCCTATGGTGGTGGTGGTTATGTGTCATGGAGTCAGTTCAGACTCACAGCGACCCTGTAAATCTTTACAGGAACAGAAAGCCTCATCTTTCTCCCATGGAACAGCAGTTTTCAGCCCGATTTGTAATCACTATGCTACCAGAGCTCCTTATACAAGATCACTATTAGTCTAAACCAACTTGATGGCACTTAACAACGAGTCTGTGGCACACAGCCACCACCAGCAGAGGGCGGTACAGTGGTAGGATTCTTCCATTCAGGCGACCGCACTTGACTCCTGGCCACTTTCTCAAGCACCACCACACATCCGTTGGTGCAATTAGCATGTGAATATGGTGCTGAATAAGACTCAGCAGAGCTTGGCATCCTAGGTGAAAAAAGAAATGATGGTGGCACTCACAAAAACGCAAGCATGCCACCAAGATTTAGAATGTTTAGTTGTCTACATTCTCCATATCTTTTTTAAAAATATGGACCCACTACACTATAGGAGCTCTGGTAGCATAGTGGTTACAAATCGGGCTGCGAACTGCAAGGTCAGCAGTTCGAAACTACCAGCCACTCCACAGAAGAAAGATGAGGCTTTCTGCTCCCGTAAAGATTTACAGCCTCGGAAACTCTGTTCAGGGTTGCTATGGGTCGGAACCGACTCAATGGCACTTAACAACAGATACAACAACACTAATGGAGTCCTGGTGTGGTGCTGTAGGCTAATGCGGCAAACTGCAAAGTCCGTTTGAACCCTAAGGTCGGTGGTTCAAGCTCACCAGCTGCTCCTTGGAAACCCTATAGAGGGTCGCTATGGGTCAGAATCGACTTGACGGCACTAAACAACAACAACAACACAGTATAGATGGAGTCCTGGTTTGGCACTGTGGGCTAATGCACTGGACTGCAAAGTTGGTTTGAACCCCAAGGTCGGTGGTTCTAGCTTACCAGCTGCTCCTTGGAAACACTATACAGGGTCACTATGGGTCAGAACTGACAAGACAGCACTTAACAACAACAACACTATAGACAGTCTTTCATCCCTGAATACATAGGCATTGTTTGAAAATTGGATTCAGATTATTTTAAGAAAATATGTTTTTAGAATTCGGTTTACCAATGAGTTTATCAAATTTTAAAAAATTGTTTTGTAAGTGAATATACATGTATGATTTATTGTTTAATGCCATCAAGTTGGCTCTGACTCATCGTGACCCTGGATAGGGTTTCTGAGAAGCAGCTGGTGAGTTTCTATAATAGGGATATTTTTATTCTACAGAGTCAGGTACACTTGTATTAACTTTTTTATTTTCCAGATGCCATCATTTTTCTGTAAAAAAAAAAAAAAAGAGTAGCAATCATAGCTAACTATTTCCAGGTATTTAACCATATTTCATTAAGTACTTACTTTTGTTGAACACTTGGCCTCAAGGATACAAGATAGGCATTATCCCCCACATTCTGCTGATTAGGAAACTTTAGGCAGAGAGAGATTAACACGTGATTTACCAAGGGTCACATGGGTCAAACCCAGGTTGTATAGCTGTCAATCATTGCATTTAAAGTAGACTCACAAAGCTACTGCTTATACCAGAATCCTGGTGTGGCGCTGTGGGTTAATGCGCTGGATGGCAAAGTCGGCTTGAACTGCAAGGTCATAGGTTCAGGCTAGCCAATCGCTCCTTGGAAAGCCTGTACAGGGTCGCTATGGGTCGGAATCAACTCGATGGCACTTAACAACAACAACTGCATATACCATGTGTTGATTGGCTGTACTTGTTAGTTTCCTCCTGGTGGTATTGCTATGACAAGATAAGCCATTCATTCCTATGGAATTAAGAAAAGAGCCCTCCCCCTCCTTCACCCACAGCCATTGTTCGTTACAGCAACTGTCTTCAATATGGAGGTCACTTTCATTCCTTTCTGGAGGATTGCATGTCACACCCTAATGGATCAGGGGTTATTGTTGTTGCTGTTAAGTGCCATGAGTTGTTTCCAACTTATTTGTGGTTGTTAACTGCCGTCGAGTTGGTTCCAACTCACTGGGACCCTGTATAGGGTTTCTGAGGAGTGGTTGGTGAGTTTGAACCACCGACCTTGTGGTTCAAACTGACCTTAAGTTTGAGTGCTATCCAGGACTCCTTTTGATTTATAGTGACCCTATATAGGGTTTCCTGGTAACGGCTAGTGACTTTTAACCACCAACTTGTTGGGGCTTTTTCTGATAAGGGCCATTTGGATACTCACAGGCCGTACTTAAAGTTATTAACTTAAAAATTGTTGTTGTTGTTGTTAAGTGCCATCGAGTCAGTTCTGACTTATAGTGACCCTGTGTAGGGTTTCTGAGGAATGGCTGGTGAGTTTGAACCACCGACCTTGCAGTCCAGCACATCATCCTGCAGCACCACACCAGGATTAACTGAACAATCCACCTGCTCACAGGGTTGCTATGAGTCAGGTTCCATTTGACAGCACCCAACACCACCAATAATAATGTGGTTGCTGGCACTGTGGTTACCTTGACAAGGCCAGATCAAATGATTTCGTGGGCCTTAAACGATCTGCTCTGGTAGTGTAGTGGTTACGAATCGGGCTGTGAACCTTAAGGTCAGCAGTTCGAAACTACCAGCTGCTCCGTGGGAGAAAGATGAGGCTTTCTGCTCCCATAAAGATTTACAGCCTCAGAAACCCTGTATAGGGTCGCTGTGAGTCGGAACCAACTCCATGGCACATAACAATAACAAACCGTCTGCAAGCTGGGTGTTCCCCACCTCTGCCCTAGAGGATGCTTCCAGTATCTCTGCCTCCCAGTTCCTGGACCTCCTCGTCCCCAGTGACACTTCCTACTCCCTCTCTGGCCCCTCTTTCCATAGTTACAGTTCATAGCTCATCTCTCCAGAAGTTGCAAATCTGTGTTGAATATCTCCCTCACCAACCAAATGTGTGGGGTCTCAGCACATCTTCTCCAAGGAATCTCATCCACATTGTGGCCCCGCTGGCTGCTGCTGTCCTTAGGCTCTTCCTCCCTTCACTTTCCTTTGGACTCTGTTTACATTCTGTACACAGTCACTAAGTGTCATTCCTGGCACACACCCTTAACCGACTTTTCCGTATGTCACTTTGTCCTCCTATCCTGGCTAAGCCAAACTCTGCCTCTCTCATGCCCACACACAAACTGTGGCTAGAGACGAACACATCTGCAGGCCCAGTGACTAACCCAAGTGGGCCCTCTCTGCCTGCAGCCGTATGCCATTTCTCAACTCCATCCCTTCTCCATTCCTAGGATGGCATTTTCATACCTTGTCTCCTCCAACCTTTCACACCTCCTCCCTCTTCCTCACTCTTAACTGGTGGCATTGCTTCCTATTTCTCTCAGAAAATAGAAGCAATCAGGAAAGAATTTCCGCCAGCTCCCACGACCACATCAGCCCACGTACGTGCATCTGTGCTCGCATGCTGGGTCTTC